TAAATTAATAAAAGGTGTTAGAATTCATGGGGGTGACACCAAATCATTGTAGCATGCTCCAGCCATTCTGGGAAATATTCCCCTATTGCTCCTAAGGTCTGAGATCATCCTCTTTGCCACAACCGGAAATAAAACCCTCTCCTCCACTTTCAGAAGTGTAATACTGCTAAATTTGCTGATCTCCATGGCATTTTGTTCCTTTGTTTCTTTCAGGCAATTCGCATTAACCTCCATAACAGTTTCAAGAAAAGTTTCAATTGGACAATTCTTACATAACCTGTTTGGTCCTGGTGCTGAGGCAGACCTTGCCTTTTCCACCACTTGCCTAGCTTCACTGAGCTTAGACGGTGCTGTGTCAAATCCAACTGGTGGCTCTGCTAGATGCGGTACATAGCCTGGTGGAAAAAAGGGTTTCCCTTCCCTGGGTCGACATACTGACAACTAATTTAAGCTTTGAGTTCTTCCTTGGCAAATTTGAGCTTCCCGTTTGTTTTTTTACTCTAGCAAATCTCCTGCGTGTTAAAATGGGTTCCTGAAAAACTTTACCCTCTCCTTCTTTTTTTTCTATCTGTGCTTATCTTCAGTCCCTTTTTCTCCAACTCATACAAAACCTCTTCATTCAATTCAATGTTTTAACTGGAGTGATGTAATGAGTGGAGTACCACACAGACCAGTATTAAGACTACTCCTTTTCCTAATTAATATAAATTATTATGACGCTAACCCGGGTGTGGCACCTTTAAGAGGCAGAGCCCTTGTTGAGACATGGGCGCATTGCCTTGGCAACACAGCTGAGCGGAATTTGAGGGTTAATTAGACTCAGCTGTGGGACTGTTTAAGAAGAGAGCTACTATTTCCCTCAGAGAGAGATCAAGCAGGACTTAGTCCTAAGTTAGCTACAGGAAAAAGTGGATGTGGGAGATCAGGTCTCTCATACTGTATGCAGAGGCTTGGTGGTAAGAGAGCTGGGCTGAAGCAACACAGCAGCAGATGTGAGATTGAGTGCAAGTGACAGTCTGATGGATACAGCTAAACTCTGACAAGGGAGAGTAATGATAGCAACAGTACTGGAGGGAACTGGGTATAGTGTGATCCCTTAAACATGGAAGGGACTGGGAAGAGCGTCTGTCTTGAAGGAGACTGAGGAGAGAAATGGAGCCATAAAAGATTGTGGAGCTTTAAAAGGTATGGAGATTTAAAGGGGCAGCAGTCTGTTGTGATGTGAGAGCAGTGTCCACTAATTGGTAGAGATTTATGTAAGTTAAGTGAAGTAGGATAGTACGAGTGTTATCAGAGTGTTGGAGCAGTAGAAGGACCCTTCCCCCAGGTGATACAGGATTATCAGAGATGTCAGTGGTGTATGTCTGGCTGCAGACCTCTGGTGATGAACATGTGGTGGTAACAAAAAGATGGTGCCACCAATGGTACACGGTGTGTTGAGGTGCAGTGATGGCTGGTCAGTTGTACAAGATGCACCAGCAGCTGCATGTGTGAGAAGCACAGTGACAATCAGGCACAAGAGAAGGTGCACCAACAGCTGTGTGAGTAAGTTAGGAACAGGGGCTGGGCACAGAAGAAGGTGCGTTGGTAGCTGCAGAAGTGTACACAACCTGGGGTATGAGCGAGGCACCGGTTGTGTGTGTAGCGGCAATGCTTATTAATAAGACAGAATTAAGTGTTGCTGTGCTTTCCTAAATGAGGCCCCATCTATCTTTCTCATCTCTGTGGTGCAGCTATTCATGCAGTTCTGATTTAAGGTATTTTCTCTCAGATAAGGACCAGATAAGGACCAAATGGGAATGCACCCAGTCATGCTTGGCTGTCATGATCAATGCCCATTCCTGGCGCCTATCTGTCTGTGAGATTCTTGGGAACATTTGAATTGCGGTCCAAGATGTCAGTGGTCATTGTTACTCATCTCTCATCTTGACCAACCAATCAGGAACCTGTAGGGCATGGTAACTCCATGTGGGTCTGAAATGACTGCTAAACTTTCGACTAATCATACCTTGTCTTGGTTCTGGTTTAAAAGACACTGCACAGCTCAGAAACTTTGCTTCTCTTGCCAGTTTTCACACCCTAAGAGACAATTACGTGAAGGTCAGTGTTGCCTGTATAGGGAGTGGAACCTTGTTTCAGCAAAGTGTTGGCCCAGGGGATGCCCGTGCATAAATCGTTAGCCAACGCCAACATGGACTCTTGTCGACAAACTGAATACGTTTTTATTCAGCAGCAGCGCTACACCTGTAGCGGTAATGCTTGTTAATAAGACAGAATTAAGTGTTGCTGTGCTTTCCCAAATGCTTTCCCAAATCTCTCTGTTCATCTCTGTGGCGTAGGCTGATTAACATTTTTTTTCTTTTGATAAGGGACAGTTCCCAAATGGGGATGCACTTAGCTAAGCCTGGCTATCATGATCAATGGTCATCCATTGGCGCCTATCTGTCTAGGGAGTGCCAGATGGACATCTGGA